CGCCAATGCTGTCATCACCACCACCACCAGCCGGCGCGCCAAAGGATCTATCCTGTTGCCGCCTTGGTCGAGTTCTGCTTCTCCACTTGCAGCTTCCGGGCAGCTGCCTGCGCGATGCCGGTCGTCTCCGCCCATGCCATCGCGTCGAGGCGCCCCAGGTGTTCCAGCCACGTGCAGGTGTCGGGGTCGCAGGGGATGAGGCCGAGCTGGGGTAGGTGCAGGGTAGGGTGTGCAAATCCGTTTGAACCGGTCCAAATGAACGCAGCAGTAGGAGCACGGCGTGCGCAGGGGAAGGGAGGGGGTCAGCTGTCCAATGGCAGGGTTGGGGTTGGGGGCCGCGCGTACATCATCACTGCACGATTCTGCCCCAGCATCACTGCACAAACGCATCACATGCACCCGGTGCCGCCGTCGGCCACGCACCTCGGTCCAGGTGGCGCTGTCAAACACGCTGTTGGACACCGCGAGCCCCGGCGCGATGTCGAGTCCCGCCGCCTGCATGCGCGCCAGCCTCCAGGGCGCGACCTTGGGCGGCCGCTCCGGCAGCGCCGGCTTGAGCACGCCCGCCGCGGCGGCCGGCAGGCCGGCGAGCGCGCGCGCGATCGCGCCGACGGTGTCGCCGATGGTCGTGGGCGGCGCGTCGGGGGCGCGGCTGGCGATGCGGATGCAGTATTCCACTGCGGGCGGGCAGGGCTGCGCGATGCTCAGGCTGCCGTCGGCGGTTTCCATGCCCCGCCACCGCGTGAACAGGCTGCGGCCGCTCCAGATCGGGATGTACGCGGACGCGGCGAGCGTCGAGATCAGATCTGATCTCCCGCCGGGGCCGTCCGAGGCGCCGGTCATCAGCGATCTGGGGCCCTGGTCCTGCAGGACGGTCACGCCCGCGAAGAAGTTGCCCTTGCAGCGGCGCGCGGCGTCGGTGGGCAGCACCGCATCGAGGATGCCCTTGAGGGTGCTGTCCATCCTGCATGCCCCGAGCGGCGCGCGGTCCGCGTCCGAGGTTGCGAGCGGATTTGCGGGAACGAGGCGGCCGATTTGGTGTGCATCATGTACAGCAGCAGCAGCTGCTTGTGAGCGTGGCGGGCGGCACAAGCATGGCTGGGCCCAGGCCGCGCCCGCAGAATGTTTCTGACGTACTCACAATATGCAAGCACCCATTTCTCAAAGCAGACGCACCTGCCAGCGCACTGCTTTTCTCGGCAGCGCCGCATCAGATCGTGGACCTGCAGGGAGCGTGCAAATTTGGGGGTGTTTTGGTGCTGGGCTGGAGGTGGGGCTGGCGGCACAGCCGTTGGGCAGCACATGGGTTGTTGTCCCCACAGATCCAGATGTGGCGCCATGGCGTTGGAAAGGCGTCCCGCAATTCCGCGTCGCGGAACATCTTGCAACAAATTTCAGGCCATGCTTCCACTTCGCAACTGCTTCCTCGTTTTACGCATGGTTTGTCGCGCTGTGCTCGCCCTCCTGATGCCCCAGCGCGCACCAACCCAAGTGTCAGCCAGTGATGTTGCAGAGCTGCTCGCCAGGGCTCATCATGACCAGAATCCCCGGCACCGTGCCTGCAGCATACATCTCAAACTTGACACTGGCAGCCAGCAGCGCGCCCATCCGCTCGACACCACCCACTTTCCCTACACCCCGCCCACCCCAAGCCAGAGGCCGCACCGTGTCTCCGAAGCGGTCGGCCGACATGCCGCTGCAAATCACGCCCGCCGTCAGCGCGCCACTGGAAATCCCCGCCACCGGCGGCGCCTGCTTCCCGGGCACCACGATCCCCAGCTGCTGGAGCACTTTGACGATGCCGACTGCGAGGTTTGATCAGTGATCGAGAGTGACTTACAAGAGGTTATGTGTGTGTAGATGTGTGTGTGTGGGGGCGCGCGCAAGTGAGTGTGCTTTGAGGCAGCGTGGGTGGTGAGGTCAAGAGGCAGGTGTGCTTCCCGGGACACCGCTGTTGCGCTGGCAAGCCATGTCGGGGCCTGCCTTGCCGCTGCATCCAACCAATGCAAATCGCCGATAGGCCCAAGCCTGCACCACACGCACCATAGTAGGCGATGAGCAACCCTGCAGGGCAGAATGGGGGCGCGGCATCGAGGAGGATGGACACCATGCTTTGCGAGTGTGAAAGGTTTTGCGCTGCCCCCCCCCCCCAAACCTAGGCGCCTGATCTGGTCCAAGCTGTCCAGCGCCTTGCCCCTGACTTGCGCTTTGCAGAGCGCAGCGGGCAGCCAGCGCTCTGCCAAAGTATGGCACGCTAAGCCCTGGCAACTCAAAGATGGAGGCCGCTGAATGGAAGCCGCGGCGCCTGCGGCGCCTGCGCACTCTACCAGTGCGCCTGCCAACTCGTTTCTCAGTTATTCAGCAGCCTGCTCTGCTCTGTTCACTGATTGACAATGGATCAAGTGCATCACTTCCACTGGGTCCCCTTGCATCCGGACTGTCGGTTTGGCAGCAAGCTACCACAACAGGCGCTTGCTCGCCGCTCCCAGCTGCTGCGGTCCGCACCTGCGCCTCCGAACGACAGGCCGAGCGTGCCGTTCTCAAACGCAGATAGGGCCGTCCCGTTTGCGACGAACCCCGTCACTAATCCACTCATTCCTCTACTCCTGGTCCCCCCAGGAGGGCGCTCGGGGCGTCTGCAAGCTGGGCCGAGAGGTCGTGGGCACCGGAGTGGGGGTGCTCACGCCACCCGGCCTCCAAGCTGCACGGATGAAAGCTTATTACTAGTTGAGACAAAGTTCGGTTCGAATTGTCCAGGGCAACGCAGACGCCCGCTCGCTCAGCACTCGACGGCTACAAAATGACGCTGTCACTCACACTTTGGTGGTCGCGGTTACCACGCTCTCAAGGCGTGATATTGGTGTGTATAGAAATAGTATGAAGGTGATGACCTCGAATGACCACGCAGTTTCTTTGCGAGCGCTGTTCACATGCGCAACATGACCCCTTGGGGAGCAGTCAGCAGTGAAACGATTTCATGGGAGCTGGTTATGCTCCAGCCGCTGTGACCTCACACATGACGATAGAACAGCTGCGTGCTGCACCATTGTAGCTAGGCACATGCCCGTCCTGCCCTGTGAGTTTGAATCGCGAGCCGAGCAACTGCACACCCAGAGACCACCGAGTCGAGGACGGTTACACCGGCTAAGCAAGGAGGCGCGCGCCCGCCCCCGGACCGCCGCCCTAGGCGTGCTTCTTGGCCTTCTTCTGCATCTTGCGGGTGTAGAACTCCAGCTCCCTGCCCTCCAGGATGTACCCGTCGCAGCGCCCGCACTGCCCGGGGCGGCTGCTGATGCAGGCCAGCAGGCGGCCCAGGGCAAACTGCTCCGCCAGGTGGGTGTCCAGCTTGCGGCCGCGGGTGCGCTCCTTGAACTTCCGCTTCACATGGTTGGAGCCCTGGGGGAGTAGGGAAAGCGATTGGAAGGGGAGGCGTCGGGCTCCGGCTGCGGCGGTGCCCCGCCGGCGGGCGCAACACCGGGCGTTGCCAGGCAGCACTGCCACGCACGCCGCGCCCGCGTCGAGGCCGCCCGCATCCAGCTCCGGGGCGCCTCTGCTCGGCGGGCCCCACACGCAGCAGCCCCTGCAGCCTCGCGCCCCCAATCC